ATATATGTATGTCTTTGTAACTAAATGTATGTATATGTGTAAACAAGTGTATATTTATTAAAAAAAATAAAAAAACAAAAACAGCAGTAAAAAAGTCTGATTAAAACTTTTCCATTGTAGCTGTGACTGTATGCTTTGGGGCTAATGCAAGAAATGGAACCTTTAAATCCTTTGCAGAAACCAGCTTTTCTAAAGATTTTCCTGTATCTCATTATATCATCGACTCAGACTAGACTTTCTTTTACAGGTTAAATAAGCATCCCCCCATGTTTTACAGAGGGGGATTTTTTTTCATGATACGCAGCCTTTGTTTGCCATCATACTGTCAGCCACATTACAAACAGTAAACAGAGCTTCTTCCAATGTTCGTCCTAATTTTTCTTTTCTTCTCACTCTTCCATATACAGCTACATTTGTGTAGTCTAGTTTCCAAGTTGAATTAATCAACTAACTTCAAATCTGACCTATGCAAAAGCAGGGGACCATATAAATCAAAACCATTATTTTATTGTCCATGCAGTCACCTCTTTCCTCCTGTCACTGTTTTCCTTCTGCAGGTGCCACTTCAGGGAGACATGAGGAGAGCGAGCTTGGCACTCCAGGAACGTAGTACTGCCCTCCACTCCATACTGAACTGTCTCCAGAGTATTTTTATTTGCTATGAAAGAACATGTAAAGTAAGTACTTTAAGTAATTAATGCATTTGTGTTAGAAAAGTTTCCTGATAACCATCTTGCAACATAATGAAACTCACCATTTGAGTTATAACCTCTGCACTGACGGATTGGGTTTCCATACTTTACATCCTGTCGCCGGCTCCGTCTAAGAGGACAAAACCATTGTGTTAAAATAAAGTTCAGTTCCAGCAAAAATTTTTAAACATCCAGTGCTGAATTATTATCCAAGAGAGAACTTGCTGCGTATGTAAACATCCAGGCTGCTCTGGTCTCACCTTTTCTGTGAGGCAGAATATCTGGAGCAGGACTTGCCGTCCCAGGCACAGTATGGGTCCCGGGCCAGACAGCAGTCAGCACAGGCTTCACCATACACATCACAGCGGTGCAGAGCAAGGTGGGTCACACCCAGGACGGATCCTACATAGAGTTGTTGCTGTTAAAAGAAACAAAAACAGAACGAGTAAGTGAAGGAGTAGATATATGAAAATGACGGTCAGCAACAGCAGCTGACCCGTAATACTCTTAAACTCTGCTAGTCTTCTTCTACTCCAAAACAAATAGTATAATCCCTGAAAAAAATCGTTTATAAACCAGAAACTGTTGGCTTTATTGACTCAGTTATAGCTACTCTAGTCTAAGAAAACTCAATAAAAGGCATAACAAGGCACTGTTAAATGAAAACATATACTATTTCTTATATATTTGATAATAAAAGTGAGATTTTTTTTGTCTTGGAAATTGTTCAAAATATTTATCCTTTATGCTTAAATGTTTGCATTTGCTTTACTTTATTTCATGTCTTCCCCAAATCAGAGAGGATCTCAAATAAAGACATTTAGTTTGCAACATGATGAAACTGCCATCACTTGTAAACATACATTAAAAAGGTTATGATTTTTGTCATTAAAATGTGCTCTAAGGAAGTTCTTGGTAACGTACCCGTTTAGATGAAATCTTCATAGTGGTGATTGGGGTGGGAACCTGAATTGGCAAATAAAATGTAACATAAACACATGGTAAAAAACAAAAACTTTTGAAATCTATGAAAAAATCCAACAGTAGAGACATATCAGCCAACTAAGCAGAAGAAAGTAATAAAAAACAACTACAAAAAAACTAATCTGACAACAGCCAGATGCATGTCTCGCTGCATCTGGCTGTTGTCAGGTTACAAAAAAACTACTTTATCCTCTAGAATTGATGTGCACACAAAAAACACTTGGCAGCAACTTATCACAAAAAAAAAATGCACAAAAAAACTAAGAACTCTTAGATTTTTTTGCTGTATAAATGCATCACCCAGCTGTATGTATTTGTATGGAATTCTATTCCCTTTCATAACCCCTGGACAGAAACTAGGGAGATATACTGAGAGGCATAAATGGGGATAATTTCCTTTGTCTGTTGGACTCAAATTCTGCAGCAGACCTTTTCTATTCTTACAGTTCATAGGAAATAAACTGTAAGTCATATTATAAATAAATCTGAAATTAAGTTTGGTTTAGGACAAGCCTGACTGCGTCTCTTGGTAATAAGACAAATAAAAAAAGGATTTTTGGATAAGTTTTTGTTTTTTCCAGACTGACCTTGAACACCTCCACCTCCTCTAGAACCAATTCCTCTGTCTGCAAGTCATCTCTTGGCAAGACAATGACTTTCTGGACTGTCCCACGATCTAAAACAAACAAAAACATTTATCCTCTTATTAGAATGGTGTTGGATCATTTTTGGAAACCTTTAGGATAAACAGACAATCATAATTACAGAATTCTGTTCAAAACTGAATCTTTACACTAATCTTTAAATGCTAGAGTATGAGGCTTAAAATCACTGACCTGTTCCCAGGAAGAGCACCTCATAGCTCCCATCTGCAGCTCTAACTTGATCAACAGCAAGCGTAGTGAACTCATAGTCCACATTTGTTCTGACCACTAGGGGGCGCTTGTGAACCGGGTAAACAGCGTTGTACATGGTGGGATGGTTTCTCATGAAGTTGATAACCTCATCTGGGTAATCCTTTGTGGATTTCATGTTTGGAGTGAATGTACCTCCAGGACACTATTGACAGATGGAACATTGTAATGTTAAATCTGCTCATCTGCCGTTTATCTTCCCCCCTGTGTGTGGATTATGTCATCATCATTGTTGTTTTGTTTGTTTCTTTAACTCACAGTGCCAGGTCGAGGGTAGGGGATTTTCCCAGAATATGCCACCCACTGGTAGTTGGGCCCTTCTTTGTGGGCAAAAGGCCCGTTAAACACCATACGGATGTCAGCCATGGAGTAGACGCACACTGCCGAGCCTTTGAACACAGATCTGTATGAAAACAGACAAGAACAAAATATTTGCAAAGATATTACCTAAGCAGTATCCAGATTCACTCACACCCAGATGTTGATTACTGTGAGAAAGAAATGATTTCCTTCCCACATATTAAGTCTGCCTTTTTTTGCAGGAACATTATGACGCACCAACATTCAGACTGACTCAACCAGAGTCAAGTTGTCTGACACATTGACATACAAACACCCACTTATTGCCAAGAAAGAAAAAAGAAGAAAAAAAAAATCCCGGACTACAGGCTCGCTCTGCATCACGCTGGTGTATATGTTTCTAACTCCTGTCATGAGCCCCTATCATTAGCACCACACTTGCTTTAAACAGCTGGGCTAAAACTCTTACATTGCATGATGGCAAATGCAGAAGTAAAAATATTATTTTTTCCAATACATTAATCAAAAAGTGTTTATTATGACTCGGTGCACACCTTTTCCTAAACTGTGCACAGGCAGAATCTCAGTCTACAGATTTGAAGGAGTTGTGTATTTTTTTTTAAGGTTGTGCATCTAAGTAGTCAGTCTCTCACCTACTATTGGAACAACCATACAGAGACAAAAAAAACTCTGACATATAGAACATACATTAGCAAAGACAGGTGACTGCCCAAATGGAATATTAAAAAGATAACAAAAAAACCCAAAAAGGATAATTTTCAAGTCAGTGAATGCACCATATTGAACTGGCTTAACAGCTACAATCTTTGGTGAGGATGCCATCACTAAGGTAAGAAGAAATATATGTGTAGGATGACTAAGACTTAGACAACTGTTCTTGTCATTTTGTATAAACAGAGTGTATACAAAACAAAATTTTGTTTAGTATAGCTTTCCAGACAGTAAATGAACATTTCCATTCCATAAAGTGCAGCAGTGATCAGATATAAACAGTGTGGGAGGAAAAAAACATGGTGCAAAAAAATTGATTGATATGGAAGTTCAGAGCATTATTATATATGGTGCAAATATGTAGTATTTTTTGTTTGGTGTTAGGATTTTTAAATTAAGTCAGAGGAGGCAAAAAAAGAGAAGCTTATTTGAAGAAAACATTATCTTTTAAATGCCAGAATACCAATTAATATATTGAACTTATTACAGCCAGAGTTTGGAGTATTTAGCTTCTCTCCTTTAACACTGTAGATTTGGGAATGTTGTGATCTCTTCAAAAATCTCAATCATGTTCAAGTTTATATTCTCCAGGGACGAACACACACAACGACTGCTTTAAAAAAAAAAAACTGAGGTATTGACCTTTATCTTCCAGAGGTCAGATCCAGACTACTGTACTTGTGACCCTCTATAAATTTGTGTTACAAAAATAGATTATATAGTCTCCATGTAGTGACTGACAACCCGCTATCAAATCTGACTGACTCTATTAAAGACTCTCAAAGAGCGGCGCCTATTTTTGTGCTGAACATTCACTTTTCTGTCTCCTTTAAATAGGCGGATTCTGACCAACCAATGGAGCTTTGTAACATTACAAAGAGCAGGCACCTTGCGGCTGAGTGGAAATGAGCATGTACTGCTGACAGACACTAAAGTACACCTAACATCCACACCTAAATTAGAGTTTAAAGAAGCCATTACTCACCCTGAAACTGAGAAGACTCCATAGATGACTGGGTTCCTTGTGTCTTGGGTTGGCTGGATATACACATCCCCTTTAGATGATGACATGATTTTCACATTAATTAGTCACATCCATAAACAATGTGAAGTTGTACGGACGCCATAAACGTCCATACTTGAAAACATTAATTTGATGGATCAGCACAAATGTAGAGCACTTCCTGGGATTTATGCCATGCTGAAGTTAACCTTTTTCAGATTCAAATTAAACAAACAGACATTTTTTTTTTCTTAGAAAACATTTGAAAAGAAAATATTAGTGTCTCATATTAAATGATCCTGAGACTTAAACATCGTTCCGACCCCAAAAAATCCTAATTGTGACATATGGAGACATTTTGCTTCCATTGAGGGGGGGTTTGTTAAGAATGAGCACCCCTTGAATTGTGGTTTCCAGAGTCTCGGTGAGATCCTGAATCTAAACTCTTGCAAACCTGGAGCTACAGTGGTTCGGTCTCAGTGGGGAATAGGAGTGAAACAGAGATGTCTGCTGAAACATGAATTTAATAGGAGCCATATGCAATACAGGCACCGTGGGGCCATGGCAACGGTGTGCAGTGAGTATCCGCTAATGTTTTCATGAGAGAAAAGAGCAAAAAATAACAAAACGGAGGAAAAGAGAAATAAATTGGAAGTAGACAGGCTATGCACACACCGGTCCATTTATTGTTTTGCTTCCATGCAAAGATAGGTAATTTATTAAAAGAAAACTTTTAAAAACAAAAGAAAGATAATATCTGGTACTTTTAAGTCTTTAGAAAATCCCATCAAAGAAAGTTTCCCAGCTATACATAGTTTGTTTATGGACATTCGTGAGACTAAAGACGAGGCGTATTTCAAACTCAAAAATGTAGCTCAAACATCACCTGAATGCACTTTACAACTAATTAAATCCAAATCCCCAAGCATTTGGCTTTGATCAGCAAAAAAAAAATCAACAAACGAGGAGCATAAATCCAAATTGCTTGCATGAGAAAAATGAGTTGTGCATAGTTTTAAAGATAAACAAGCTCCCCTTTGATCACACGTTTGAAATATTTTCTAAAAAGAAAACTAAGTCAACAGGCCAGGATATGGAATGACAGGTAATATCTGCTTTCTGAAGTGAAAATTAACTTTTGGCAAACAAAGCAGAGATTCATAACCCATCTGACGCCAGTCTGACATAGCTTCTGGCTATGGAAAGCGAGAATAGAAATAAATCAGCAGAGAACTGGGAACACGTTGCATCAATCTGATGTTTGTTTCTGACGTGCCAGAGAACACAAAGACTTTGAGGCCATCTAAACAAAATACATGCTGGAAAACATATTTAATTACTGGATGTAGAATAATGCAAGTCGAACTAAATGAGATTTTATAGGAGGAAACAACAAAGTTTAATCAGTTGCAGTTATTTAAAATCGGTTGGATGTATTTAGTTTCTTGATACATACTGCTAAATATGAAGCTCAATAAGTTAAAATAACCAGTTAAACTCATTTAAATGCATCAATAATCACAACTTTCTGTGAACATTAAGAAACATTGGGATCTGCATACTGCTACATCCAAAAGATGTAAAAAAGTAAAGCTTCATCCGTCCATGACTTCAGAAAAGGCAATAAAACCTAACAGCCCATAAATTCATTCTTATTTTTCTCCACCGAATATTTTGATCTCTTTTACATCCATTTGGCTTCACTTCTCTTTGCAGTCCTCCTTTGCTCTGGCAACACAGTGAATCTTTTCTCGTCTGTTAAACCCTACTCTGTTCTGTCTCCTGAGTCCTCATCCAAGTCTTCCTTTGCCTCTGCTGGGCTTCATCGGGACACGCATTACATTTCTTCCAGACCGACTGTGGTTTGTGGTAAGAATGGCCGCGGTGCTGTGGGATGTTATGCTGCACCTCAGGATGCACATTAACCTCACGACGAGGGCCGATCTGCTCAGAGGCTGCCAACGTCAGGCTGCACAACTACGAGATAAAGAAACAACAACACCAGAGTGCTTTTCTGTTGCAGATGCTGAGCACTTTTAATGCATGGAGAACATCTGCAGAGCGCCATTGCAGGACAAGTATAGGATCCTGCTAATTATTCAACTCACAGCTTTTTATTTTTTAAATGTTATTGATTGATATTGACTTGTGCATCAAAATACAGTGATTTGCAATAGTTCAACATTTTTTTTTTTTATATTTCCACATTTTTTCACACTACAACCACAGAGTTGAATGTATTTTATTCAGATTTGATGTGCTATAACAGGGATTGCAACCTTTCAAATCCAAAGAGCCATTTTGTTCTGGCAAAGTAAAAATCATTTAGAGCAGCAAAATAATACATGACCTTCGATAAAACGCAAACTACTGTTTTTGTTAAATATCTGCAATAGGAAATCTGCTGCTATTTTAAGTTACTGACTGATTATTTGTATTCTTAGCTTTTAAATATTAGAAAAAAGATAAAAAGATAAATAAAAATGAAGGATGGATTATTTTTCTCTCTATTTACTATATGCCTATTATTTGATGTAAAAAGAAAAACATATTAAAATGCATAACCCCCAAGCTAATTAGAGGAAAAATACCTCTAAAAACAGATTTCTGGTTCTTTTAATGTCATTCTGTTGAATGTTGAATGTCATCAATTAGTTCTCAAATTCTTTTTAGATGCTATCAAGAGCCATTGTAGAGAGTCCAAAGAGCCACAGGTTGCAGATCCCTGTGCTAAACCGACACAAAGAAGTGCATACTCAATTGGAAGGAAAAAAGGTTTGAGTAAGAATTTTTAAAAAATGTTTGTAATTGGATATTAAATTCACATCCCCTAAGTCAACCCTTTTCCGAACAATGTGTCGCTATAGTTACAGTTATTTTGGGGATGTGTCTACCACCTTTGAATATAAAAAAAAAAAAAAAAACATTTTTCAGAAAGATAGCTCAAGAAAATTTTTATAAAGTTGAAAAAGCACCTTTCAAGTCTATCTATATATTCCAAATTTGATCTAGGTGTTTTCTATATAAAACATTCCGCGGTAGCTCTGGCTGTATGGTTACAATTGCTTTCCTACTGGAAAGTAAACTAAACAATCTCAAGTCTTTTGCTGCCTCATTTAGTCTGATTGAAATGATCAATAAAACAAGTGAACAGGTCTGTGCAGCAAATGTTCCTTTAACTTCACGATTATGTTCCTTTAACTTCACAATTATGTGCCACTTGGAACTGGTCTACCATATGATGTATTGAAAACAATAGTAGGTTAAGATTGGAATGTGACGAATGTCACAATGTTTAAGGAGATTGAATGCAATGAACAAAGTGATTGCTGCGTTTTAAAAAGGCACCACTACATGCTTATAGAACATGCTCTGTTTTCTGAACTGTTTGTATGATTTATAACGGGTATAAAGGACAATTTAATAAAAGTATAACGTTTCTCAAAGCTATTGCAGCAACTTAGCTGAATTCCCCTACCTCTGCTACAGCAGAGAGAGAGAAAAAAAACTGTAGGTTTACCTTCCTTCTAGGAGATTTTCTGTGTTTTTTTCAAGCTTCAATTGGTTTCAAGGAGTGGAGTTTCTGATAAATTCAAGAGTTAGACTATTACAGAATGAATCCAATATAAATTTTCATCCGGGTCCAAAACACCTGACTGAAATAAATGGGTAAGTGACTTCTGCAAAAATCTAAAGCCCCAAGCTGAAGCTGAATCGTTATGCCTGCAGTTTATGTTAACCTATAGCTAAAAATTCAATGTAATGTACCTCATGTAGCTGTAAGCAGAAGTCAGCAGACTAATTTTATTTCTGAAAAAATAAGCTGTTATCATAATCCCCAACTGCAAAGACTACTGGACACACTGAGTAACTGGGAATGAACATCATGCTGAAAATATGCAAAACAACTTTAAAGCACACTGTACAAATGACAGAGTTGTTGATTCTGAATCCATCAACATAGAGCCCTTCTGCAGAGTCTTGTTTTGAAAGTTGTGGTTATAAATGGCCCATCTGCTTGCTCTCTTCTGAGGTCAGGGACATTCAATATATGTGCTTTGCTCTGACTCCCTGGAGAGCCATTATAGGTCCCCTGAGCTGCAGAAATCGATCTGTAAATTGCCAAAGCTGCAGCTCGTCTTTTGTAGCAGGATAAAGCAACACTTTTCACACAGGTTTAAAAACTGCAAAGTTGGAGTTAATTGCCAACAGGTGGATTACACCACTGATGATGGACCTCTGAGAGTCTCAGTGGGGGAGAACTTGTGAAAATCATCACGTGAAAAAATCAAGTGAAAATCATATGACTCACTGAGTTCATCAAAGTGTGTCTCAATGCCGTCAGCTCCAGGCACAGAGCAGATCAGACGAGCCTTCAGGAAGGTGCTCCATTTGTTGACCAGACAGCAGTGTCCACCGTCGTCATTCTGCAGGAATCAAATCCAAACAACCATCTTTACAGCTGCTCCAAAGTCACTCATCAACTCTGCTCCAACAGTAGCTCTCCAACAGGTGTCTCAAACAGCTGTTAACCAAAGTTAATCTGAATAATGATCAGAATCACCATCTTAACAAGGGGTCAGCCAGCTGCTGCTCACGCTACTGAGGTGAAGAGTAAAGTCCTGAGAAAAAGGAATCAGGGTATGAAATCTAGCTGCGTTTAAATTATTTGTAGGGTGTAAAAAGACACATTTTTTTTAAGTTTTAACTTGTGTTAGAAAGAATAATTAAATGAACTTAATCTGAAATCATGACACATCAAAATAAACATTATTCTCTTTAGTTTAGCAATGCACTGAGCAGATTACTCGTGTCATGCTATCTATGCAATGTCACCGGCCTGCAGCAAGAATAAGATGCAATAGAAAGACAATTCTTATTTTTATGTTTATTATTATATTTTTTTATAACTACATGCAGTTTTAGCTTTATACAACGGGGAAAAAATTATATTCCAAACAGAAATGTCACAAAAGATTTTAAATACATAATAATTTCCGGACCTAAAAATAAACAGTTATGTTGGAAACCCTGACATGTAAAAAGCTTAAAATAAATGTAACTTTTAGTGCAGCTGCCTAATCGGACAGGGAGGTTTTCTTTCCCTTTTTTCTCTTCTTTACCATCCTTTTTACTGCGTGTGGTGACTAGATAACCATAAATTCTTATCTTGCCTGGTTAGTCATAGTTCAAGTCGTTTTAAACTCTTTAGTTTCTGCTTTGGTTGCAAAAGTTCTATGGTATGTTATGTAAATAAAGCATGCTTTAATTACACAGATAATGCAGATAACTAAAAATGCAAGTTTTAATCTTGGATTATTCTCTTACCTGAATATTTGTTATGGTATATGTTTTTTTTTTTTTTGTTTATGCGCCTGTATATACACTGATTTGATTCATAGTACCATCATTTATTTTTTCTATACGCAGCATGTATTAAAACATGTTGCAAAACACACTGCATAACTGCCCCCAAAAGAGGAAGAACTAATGAAAAAAGGCCAAAGACAATAACTCACCAAGCCTCAGATTCATTAAAGTCTCAGTGGTGATTATCAACTTGTGTAATAACTCACCAGGCAGATCCGCCCTATCCTGGACTGCGTCATGGGGCTCTGGCCCACCTCAGAGGCCTTCTCACGAAAGAAAAAGTACAGCTTGTCATCATTCTTCTCAGAGCTGTCTGGAATCAGGTGTGCATGGACAAAAGTTGGATCTGTGGGGAAAAGAGAAAAAAATGGTAGCAAGCCCATTAGAAGGGTGGAGCTCTGTGTTTGTCAAGAGCTTCTAAGAGGGTCCAATTATTTCACAAAGATCTCTTGCAGCTTCTTGTGTTACTTATTTAATTTAACTTCATTTAACAGATTACTCTGTTGTCTATGTATCTAGGCAATAAGTTTTGAGTGATTTCCTTTAAATTTTCTTTAAAATGAACAACAAAATACTAATGAAAAATGAATACTGATTTCATGCAATAAGGAATGTTTCAACAAATGGTGCAGTACTTGTAAAGTTGGCCAAGCTGATACAAAGTCATTTTTTTTTTTAGACAAATGTAGTTTTTAGACATTAGAATATGATTGGAAGATGTGTAATAGGAAAGTATATTATTGGAAAAGTTGAGTGGAAGGAAAAATGTGCTAACTAAAATTCAACTACAAAAAAATAAAATAGAAAAATGCATAAAATATATTAACATGTGTGTAATGAATCTTTTTATCTTCTTAATTACATTATGGGAATAAAACCGTCTTTTCAATTATTTCTAGCTTACTAAGTTCCACCTGTAATGTATTTCTTCCTAAAAGCATTTGATATTTGTCTGTATAGAATAAACAGTTACTAAATCAAATTTTAGGAAACATTTAGGCTTCTGTTCGGTGTTAACGTCTGTGCACTCCTGGGTCTGATTCTGTAGGTCACCACATGAATCACAAAACAGACAGCTCCACCCCACTGCGAAAGACCAGCATCCCAAATAGGGACAAACTAAAAAGCCAGAGAAGGGAGGGGAGCAACCAGCACCCCCGTCATGTGGGGGAGGGTGTTAGCCAGTACAATTCAAAACGGCTGATTAGCAGGACTCAGGTGTCCGGATTCGCCAGATCGCCAGCAGGAGACTGTTGTCAGGGCAACAGGGTCAGAGGAAAATCTGGGAGCCAACAACACAGACGGGAAGTCTGCTATTGATTTGGGAGAAAAATCAACCAAAAAGCAGCGGACCAGCAGTAATATCACTATAATGATCCAGGATTTTCCTCACAACTACAGCAGGGTTCAGGCTGCAGATGCTGCAGGCTTGCTGACGATAATGAGTTTTAGAATCAAATGAAAAATCATTGGGTTAGGTGGACCAGGGTGCAAACAATCTTCGTCGACACTGGAGCGACAATTAGGGAGGTTTGTTAAACAGTCCAGTGGGGTTCTACAATGTTCAAGGAATTTCAAAATGGTTTGTGGATAGAAAAGTGAGAGAAATCAAGGCAGATGCAGATCAAGCGGTGAGCTGAGACATTACCATTTAACCATCTGGAGTTGTACTGATCGGTCCTCATGGCTGTTTGCTTCCCCAGAGTACGGAAGATGGCGGAGTCTGTTCCCATGAAATCCACATAGACTCCTGCGTAGAGCTCTCCATCTGTCAGTCACAGCGAAGAGAAAAAGGCAGAGGAGAGGATTAGAAAAGCCTCAAACACTCTCAGGTTAAAACACACACAACATGTTATCCAATACTTGTGACTGAAAATTTTTATTGTTTTTTTTTGTGAAAATGTTTAGTAAAATCCCCCTGGTGTTAGGTAAAGCACTGCTACAATCTTAAGTTAGTCTTAATAGTTAACATAACAGGAAGGTAGCCTATTAGCCTAATACATTAAACCCTGGTTTATGTAGCATGTTGCATTCATGGTACAGCTCCCTCAAAGCCAAATTCCCATCACTGAAAGCCATCACCATCCAAAGGCGAATGCCATCTTCCAGGCCGGTGTTCATTTACCATGAAATTTAAACTTTCTTAAAAATAAAAAAGACAAAAAAAAAACCTTCAACTCAATGTTGACACCATTAATTTCTGTATAAACTCAACATTAGGCCCTAAGCGTTCCAAATTCAGCACTGCAAAATATGCAGTTTCATTTAACTTTCTGTGGTTTTAATGTTTCAAAAGATCACTCTCAGAGCTGGCACAAAATATTATCAGCTCAATTTAGAATTCACCTTATCACCATTGGCCAGCATCACAATCTTATATTTTGTAGTTAACTTGGTTGTGTAAGCAGTAGCTTTAAGATAAAGTATTAATAGTTTGAATAAAGTTTTCTTTTCTTTTATCTGTAAGCAATTAATAAACGTATTTTACTAGGAGATTAGAGAGGTTTTAAAATGATTGCATTTGCTGCAAAGTCAATATTCCAGAATTGAAATATTCTTCTTTTAAGCAATAAAGGCAAAACTCAATAGATTTCAGAGCTTTATAATTGTACAACTTCAATACACTTTCTAAACTTTGCATTGCAAATGTTCTTTTTTCAAGCACTTGCACAATAACTTTTTCTATAGGTCCGTTTATACAGAGTTAGAGAGACTCATGCAGATACCAATTCTTTTGAGATCAGCTTAACTGATAAGAGCACAAGTCTCATTTTAAATAAAAACAAACATTTATAAACAATAGCAAATGGAGGGAGTGACGAGGGTTGCATTTTACATGACCTCAGAAAATGAATCAGTGAATAAATGTAAAAAAAAAAAAAATACTAACATCAACCCAAAATATCGTCCAGTTGGTGCATCTGTCTCTCTCTACTTTGCTCCCCTCTTATTTTGAAATAATAAAAATAACAGCATTTAGAGATGATCAGTTGAAAAACTAGAAAGGTCCTGCTTCCCCTGTTATAGTAACACATTTTGAGGTTTGCAAACATTAGCAATTAAACTTTATAATTTTCTTCCTAGTATAACTTTTTTTCACAATATTTCCTTTAATGGTATATTTTAGGACATGTACTTTGCACATAAAAATGACCCTGGCTCATATATAATCAGCAGATATTAAACTCTTTTGGCTTTGATTTACAGCTAACAGAACAAAAAGACTGAACAGAGAAAGGTAAGAGAAACATAACGTAAGCACCTTAATTAGGTATGGCATGTTACAGTTTTACACCCTATTTAAAGACATTAAAATGTTGATTAATTCTCATGGTTTTACTCTGAGTCTACTCTGTTTTGCAAGAAAGAATTGCGTTAAAAAGCAATATTGTTTGTAAGATGGAACACAGTCATATTTGGTGTGTGTGAAGCATTTCTTCTCTCTCCCAATATCTTTACCCCCACTTATGTGGTGGACTGTCCCCTGTATATTCTGAGAATACTATTATTATAAACCCCTACAGCGCTTGTTCAGGCTTGCGTTTCTGCTAAACCCTTGTGCACCCCAAACCATTCCTCAGCCTTAAAGGTTGGCTCTGAACTTTCTCAGAACTTGAGAAAAAATATTTTGTTACCCTAAATAAATCAATTCAAAATAATCAGAAACAAAAACTTATGCTACAGTTGATTAGCAAAAACTAAAGGATATGATTTGTAACTCTTTTTGCTAACTTAGATAGTTTCCTCAGGTCAGCTGAAATGGAGCTGGTATGTTGCAGCTAAACATAAGTTCTTTCAGACCCAGAGATATGGACACACACAGAGGGACACTTATCACTAGCCATGTCTGACCACCTGTAAGCTGATGACAACTAAAGACCACCCACTAACATAACAGCCTGATCAGTGATTAATGATAATCCACTGAGCCCCAACCAGTTAGTGTTGATTGAATTATCAAGTTATTGTTTTATAAACTAGATTTTAGACTATTGGTTTAGGAACACAGGAGGTTTATTCTTTGGAGTTCCGTATAATTAAACAATATTTTAATGAAGTGATTACTTTTTGAACTTGTAAAATGATCATCATGCAAATAATGCAAAGATTTTCAATATGACCACAAGCCAAGAAAATATGCTGCTCATCAGAAAAAAAATAGATGATAACTTCTGTTTTAATTAATAAGATAATGATTAATAGCTACACAAAAGGGTACGATGATCTGATATTGTTCTTAACTGATTAGGACATTACTAAGGAACAAAGATCTGATGTGGTTTTTGAAGCTCAGTGTCTTATGCTTTATTTACTTCAGTTAAATTTACATTTTCTTTTATTTTCTTGAAATGCCTTGATTGTTGTTCATACTTTTAAATAATTTCCCGATTTTACGCTGTCATTAACTTTTTTCCCCCTGGTCTTCCTTTACAGCATCTTTTATTACCTTGAGCATGAAAAAAAGCAGTAATAAAAGGAACTTACTGACGAGGGCAGAAACACTGTTAAGTTTAGGATCATATGGGCATTTTCCTTTTCCAGAGTCCACTTTGCCAGGTTCCAAACGGAAAATGTACTCCTATAATAGATAATAATGGAGGAACAGTTTCTTAACAATATTCTTTGCAAACAAGTAAAAATAATTAGTAAATGATGCAAAATATGACTGTTAAGGCACTGAGCAACCCTCTCAAAGCACAAAATCAGTCTGGTAGGGTATAAGGCACACACATTAGTAATATGGAGTGTTGCAAAAATGATCCAAAAATCTTCCTTAACATGAATGTTGGTTAGCCCTAACGCATCTTTAATATTCCACAAAGCACAAAGACTTTTTAAACATCTGTGTCCACACTCGTGCTTTTATGATGACAGCAGGTATGAAATATGTTCAGCAGAGCAGTGATAAGGGAAAAGCTGTATTTCTAACCTGCAGCTGGATATTTTCTTTTAATAGAGTAACTCATAAAATCTGTACAGAAATGTTAAAAAAAACCCGTTGCCATTTCCATAAATCAAGATAAAATTCAATGTGAACAGCTTTGTAGACTTCATCTAAAGAAAAGAAAACAAAGGGCTCCTGCATTGATACAGTTCTGTACATATATAACTTGTTGCTGCCACATAATTGTTTTTCCTATTTTCATACTTTATTAATACGAGATCATAATTAACAGACTAGGAAAGCAAACTGCCTTATCTGGTTACTAACTTGTTAACCCCAATTTTGCGCTTGGTGGGCACCATAATCTAATAACATCTCCCAGCCCACCTTATTGTTCAAAGGCTCAGATGTAGAGCTGTAGTCTGCTGCTCGACTCGTTCTCCCTCCTGACTGAAGTGCCTGTAGGTTGCTGAAACCCTAAAAACAGAAACAGTTAGCCATTTTGTTAGCAAGCTGAGACAGCCCAGAGCTAGTCCAGATTCAGCTGATGATTACCATGATGGAAACTGAAGAAGAAAGTAATCAAGAAGACCCAACAACAAAATTAATAAAAGGGAAAGATAGTGATGAGACCAGAGAGAATGAAGCGCTTGGTTGGTTTAGACACTCATTCATGCAAAACAAAGATGCAGAGGAGGAAAACCATGCAGAAATAAAAGACAAAGTAAATCATGGCTATAGTTAAAGGAAGTAGCTTAAAGAAAATCTGAAATATTTTCAATTGCAATTTTGTCATAATTATAATTAAAAATGTGAAATTGCAAAGAGGAAAAAAAAAACTATTAATATGATTACACTAAGAACTAGCAGTTCTGTCCTTAATGTAACATAGATTCATTTGAATGACTGGAATATTAATGTTGGACTTTTTAGGATGTTATCCTGCTTCAACCAAAATAAGTAGTGAAGTGAGATCAATGTCCCAATTTCAACTATCTAGTTGTTTCTGTAATAGAAAAAAGTTAAAGGATTTGGATGAAGTCCTCCACCATTATTCCGTCCATTTTTGCAGACAAACCACCACATTATTATGCAACCACCTTGCCTGTCAGTTAGTATAATGTTCTTCATATACTCCAGATGCATCTTGCCATTGGGGATAAACAGGCCAGTCTTTGATTACCGTAATCTAACTAGAACCCATTTTTACAATGGTATGGAAGCAATCCAGTATACATTAACTGTTGAATCTATACTGGATTGCATCAAGACAGGCCTGAACCCTTTTTCTCCAGGATTGTTCATAAAAATCCTACCTTATTTCTCTTCCTCTAAAGGTGGTATTTTTCAAGAAGATGGCCACAAGAAGATTTTGTTAAATGTACAACCTCTTGACGTACATTTAAATAAATCTTAGTAAGGGTCTCATATTCATATTTAATGTAGAGGTTAACACTTTTGTGGAATAGTTAAAAAAAAACAATTAATAAAACCTGTGCTTCAAATTCTTGTTTTTAAGAATTCTTTAAATTCTTTATATGAAAAGAGTAAATAAATAATTAGAAGCTCCAAACTAATATGGCATTCGTGCTTCAGACGAGTGCATGTAAACAACTGATCTAAAGTGCAGTTTGACATTGGAAACCCTCAAAACATAAGTCAAATTTAATCTACGTCAGCTCACTGATAAACAAAGTAAAATGCATTGTTCTTTTCTAGATTATATTATTCTATATCTTATGTGTAAATCACAGCATTTAATTTACATATGTCGTTATTGTTTTGGTATCTATATAACAACCTAATGGTTTTGTAGATTGATTTAATAATAGTAAAAAACAAAATAAACTTTCCTAAACACTCACCAATGACTCAAATCCAAATATTGTACCTATTTAATTTAAATATCCCATGCAAACAAAAATCATCAGAGAAGACTATAGAAACACCAAAGATCCACAAGCCTGGTGCCTTAGACAAGGAGAGCTGTTTTATGTTTAAATCTACTCCTGCAGAGCAAAATCCTTAAAGTGTGAAGCAGAGCAACATTCGGACCTCAGGGGGGAATCGGAATGACAAGAGGCAGACTGACCTTTACATTGAAACTTGAAGCCTACAAATGAACAGTGAGACTAAACAGTGAGAGCGAATGTAAGTGTGCTGGTTATAACGCGAACTGCAGCTGCTGCAGCTCTCTGCATGGCCATCCAGTAAAGAGGCGTTGGGAGGGGGTCTGGCTTACAAGCCTGATGATGGATGAGAAGCTCCATCAGTAATGATGGCTTTTCAGAGGCTCTCACCCAGACAGAAAGAAAGACGGGCCAGAGGCACTGCTGTGTGTAAACAGGTGAGACAGGAGGGAAACAGACCCCCGATGAGAAGGGATTTTCTAGATAAAGTGACACCAAAGTATTCCCACGGGTAAGAAGCTGCAAGCGGTAGCTGTTAAAAATCCTACCAAGACCAATTTTGGAATGATAATGGAAATTCTGACAAGGCCAGCTATGAGGCTGTGGATAGGTGCAACTCAATGAAAGCTCAGAGGAGGAACATATTGGAAGACAAGCCGAACCCAAGAAACTGATTGATGGACAGATGGAATGGGGTGGGGGTATCTGACCTCAGATTGATGACATACTGCAGCTCTTTTAAAGAATCCAAAGACTAAAGACCTAACCGTCTCTAAGGTTGGAAGCATCTTTTAGTTACCTGAGACCTACGTCCTCGATCCACATATGTGCAGATGGGATTATATGCTCCTGTTCCGCACACATACAGGTGGGTCCGGTTCCATGGCTCAATCAGACGGATAAAGTTCCCACATTCCCCCTAGGGGAAAAAATAACAGGATTAGAAACACGGCTTAAAAACGTCAAAAATGAGATGTAAAAAACAAAACAAAACAAAAAATATGAACATTAGATTTAATATCCCAGATAATTTTGTAAATAAGTCTCATTCCTTGACAAAAAAATAGTTAAGAAAATAACTTTGTAGGTCCAATATCATCCTTGCTGTTGTCACCCTGTCATCCAGGGTTCTCTAAATCTAGAACATTTGCTTTATTAAAAAATGTCCATGTTAAAGGAGAAGGTGACCATAGAAAGGAGCATAGACAGAAATAACCATTGACCAACATGTTGCAACAAAGCTCTTTTTGTTGTGTGTTCTTTTACATTGTTGATCAAATAAACAATTCCTTTCACCAGTTTTTAAGGCAGCTGTTCATGATATGATAACACATTATTAAAGACATCTAAAAAAAAAGAATAATAATGAAAGAAAAAAGAATAAGAAGTAATAAAGATACACTAAAAACTGAACGCATAAAGAACTCTAAAAATCTATTTAAACAATATTGAGACCTTGATTATTTAAGAAAATTATCAACTTCATTATAAGCCTTTGCTGTTATCTTTGTTTTTGTCATATATAAATATTGCACTTATTTTTCTTTTTAGTATATCTTTAAAAACATTTTTTTCAAGCTTTATAAATGGGATTTGTAATAACAAAAGGAAGAAATAGTGTTCTTTTTGATAACAATTACCTAACTTCTTAAGTAAATGTTCAAGTATTTATCCTAAAATAAAAAAACATAATTTTTTTCCTTCCTTTTCTCTTTATTTCTTTTTAGCATCTTATTCAAATGTCAACTGTTTTCTTGTTCAGTCATGTTATCAGGGTATTACAGAATGTTTTCAGCATGTGGGTCTACACTGTTTTTATTCAATTTACCATGTAAAATAAACACATTTCAAAAGTTTTCCCACCTAAACCACTGTGTGTCAACCCTTTTCTTTTGACCACTTGGTTTTTCCACGTCAGGATTTTTATCCACTGAAAGTACAATGCCACAGGAATAATCTGGAAAACCCACATCTACATTTTCTGTTGGTTGGCTTCCATTTTGCTGCTCTTGCTGCTTCACACCAGACCACAGTGAAAGAGTGAAAATGTTTCCAAACATCACATAAGCATGTAGCCGAAACCAGGGAAATTCAGTGCCTGTGGGATGGGGAATGTATTTTCATAAAGGATCTGAGGTTAAGCACAATTCAAACTTAACAAATAATATACATTTTGGTTTGACCGCACAGAGAAAATAGTGGTTTTACAGTTAAAACGGTTTATGATGCTACTGTATGTTTTTAGGAAATAATTGTGCCTTTTAAATGTTTGTAATTGTAGTACAGACAAAGAGCTGCTGTTGCTGCTGATGTTGCTACTGCTACACAGATTCATTCATCAAGGGTGGCCAGCTGTCTCTGGCTTCAGCCAGCAGCTCATGTCTCCTGCCACTGAAATGAAGATATGTGTTCAGATTTGTCCATCATGTTTTTTGCTGTTGACAGCTGGTGGAAAAAAAAATGATGCGCAAAGCAAAAAGAAATAGTAGAAATGATGGGGGAGGGATAGGCTATTTTGGCAGATACTTGCCAAACAACAGATGAATGAGTTTGAGGTTTCAGAAGATGTTTTTCTGTGCGTGTGGGTTTCTACACGTGGGTCAGTGCGCAATATTCCCTGCACAGTTCTGCTTCTCTACGGTGAGCACAGCAGGAGTTATTGCCTTAGACCTGAGCCGATGCCTAACGCCAAATTCATCTTGAATTGTCATGTGCAACTTGCACTACAATCGCCGTGAAAATTGCTTTTTATGCACAAATATTCAGCTAAGCTGTGAGGGAAATCAAATAAGGACAAATGCACACAGCAGTTGGATAAACGGCAGCACCAGCCTTATCGTTTCATATGGGGCTCATCGCTTGTCCAAACCTCTTCCTCTAAACCCTGACAAAACATGAGTGGGTTTCGGTACTGTAGGTGTGGTGGTGCAATGTGTGGACCAAATCAAAAGAGATGGTTCTAGGATTTCTTTGTATGATTTCCTGTGTCCCTAGTGGGGGCTGTGCTGGCGATGGCTGTGTTTGAATGTCTAAGTCTTATTAACACTTCAGACGGGACTGTCGCCTCAGTCAGCCAATTCATTTTGTCTGCTCGTCTGGACAACAAAGGGTAAAATAATTACAGAGCAGGACGAAAGGCTAAAAAAACGGAGAAAAGAAAACACATTAAAACATCTGTCGGAGATGTAGCGACAGAAAAGCAAGAAATGCTTTCGGGGGAGAAACGTTGCAAGTTTTGAGTCCCTGCAAGAGCTTAATTGGTGGCAGCTGTATGCAATCAGCAATCAGGGATGCAAAGACGGTAAATAAGAGCGTCATAGTGAGAAGCACGCTGGGAAGGGCTTAGAAATGTCCCCTAATGACCCAAGTGCAGCATTTAAAATGGCACATGAGCATCAATAAAAAGTTCACTGAAACCGTCTTCATTTTATCAGCAGTTATGAAGAAAAACATCTTGGAAAATTAAAATAAGACTTGCAGGTTTCCTGTTAAGAGACAGGGTCTTTCAAAGCATTTCAAAACATAATGATAAAAAGAAATATTTTATTGAGATGCTATGTGAAAGGAAAAAACTCAGTTTTGCATAATTGTGAGGTTAAAGTAAAATAATATATGGCAATCAAAATTTGCACAAATAAAAAATGTAGAAAACTGTGGAGTGGTTTTGTAGTCAGTCCTCCTGAGTCAAATGCTGTGACACCACCTGTCAATCAGTCACTACCAACTAACCAGTCAGAGATAGCGATTTGTCTTGAAGAGAAACGCTCCCTACCTACAGGAGCAGCTGCTTGTTTCTCTCTGACAACACTTGGGATTTTGCACTATGAATTTACAGAGGACCTGGGAGTTTTGTAAAAAAAAAAAAAAGACATCTAATAAATGGGTAAATCATGTTAGAGGACAATAAACATTTCTGACACAAGAAGTGTTTAGAGGGTGAAACTGTCTTATTTACAAAACCAAAGAAGAGTCTTAGAAAATGGCATCCTGTCAACCACAAGATAAGCTGAACCCAACAGATTTTTTCATCTTTAGGTAAGGTAACAAGCTAATCTTCCGTTTTTATTGCCAAAATTACACAGTTAGCTGATATTTACCTTAAAAAAGCCCCGCTTTGCTTAACTGATCATGAAACCCATGGTATTAGACTACATTATGGGGCTCAAATATTCATACACAGCCTGATTATATACGTAATAAAACATACTTTCGACTTTCACCTTGTCCTTTATGTACATCATTCACTGACCTACTATTATGTAACTATAAAATGCATGGGGCCCAATTTCCTTACTGACAGCCACAGTGACTTTGTGTCAGTCTTTCTCAAAGAGAACCAACACTTATTCTGTTGACAGATCCCTCAACATGAGCTTTCTGGGATGTTGGAGGATTCTATGAAAAAGCTCTGATTGACTTGTATGTCAAAGTAGGAAATCATATATTGATAGGTTTCCAGCTGTGCAACACTTTTTGCAAAGGATGGATTGAAAACCTGTATTTCTATATGCTAGTCCTGCTTTCTCACTGGCCTGTGTAATTGTTTTATTTTGTCTTCATGATCCTCTGAAGGCTTTGCTCCATTTGTATTGAGATTAAATTAAACACAGATGGAGTATGCCTGCAAAAGACCCTTAGCTGCAGATTTTATGTACAGTTATCAAACCAAATAGTTTTTTTTCTTACACTAAAAATTCTGATTACTTTGTGTTGGCCTAACATATTAACTCACAGTGAAACCCAGTGAGTGTTGTTCTTATTTAACAAAATAGCAAAAAAAGTTTAATGAAAATAATGGTGGTTGATTGAGCAAGAATGCAACATTGACCTTTATGTTACAAAAAAAAGAAAAAAAAAAAGAAGAAAAAAAAAGCTTAGTTACCCGAAGCATAACTCAGTTTTGGCAGCAATCAAATTAAGTAAAATTGCTTCCTGGCTGCAAATTAAAATATAATTCTAGAGTTTAGTCAGATCTAACAGAGCCAGTACAACGTCATGATGAAGTCACTTACATTGGTGTCTTTCCCAGACAAGATGCATTCAGTCTTCCTCTGGGATGCAACAGGCCAGTGGATCTGTCAGGAAAAGGAAAACTGTAAACCCAAGCTGTTCCCTTCCACTTTATTTGTGTCAATGGAATGTTTCTTACAATTAGCGGCTCCTTGTTGATGTCATGCAGATCCAGAGACAGGATGTAATCTTTGCTTCCCACATACATGCGATCATGGTCCTCATCCATGCGCAGGATCCGATAGTCGGTTGAGTTGAGCAGAAAGGAGAAGTGATGAGCAGTACCGGTAGACCTTAGCTCTATAAAAAAGGAAACATAGATTTGTTTGAGCTCTGCCTGTAATTAAAAGAAAATCAGCAGAAACAAACTTGTGTAAAAGCCACAAAGAGCTGCAATGAAAATAGAAAACCCCTTTATATGCTAATGTTGATTTGATATAGTATGCTAATCATTCACATGCTACCGTCTTACACTCAGAAATTAATTTATGAGAGCTGTTGGGTCTTCCCCTCCCCCAATGACATCCTGCTTTAATGTGGTTAAGGATGGACTAAATCTGGTTATTGACAGGCTTGACAAAGACAAGTAGTAAGTTACTCTGCAGAGACTGAAACTAATGGCAAAATAAAATAGTTGGACTGGTCGATGAATTATGACAACTGCCAGAAGTCATGGCATATCTTAAATAACAAAAGGTCAGATATTTAATAAAGTTCAGCGTCTGGCCGTCTGAGCTTTGACCTTCAAATTAGAGCTTCTGGACTTAAAAAAGAGAAGGGCTTTGTTTTTAATTTGCTTGATTTTATGGGTAAAACTCTGTTCTGGTTTCTTATGTTTGAAATTGACTTTTTGTTGGAAGAAATAAAAGTAAAATTGGGGATTCAAGGATTTTTTTCTCTTAGTTTCTCCATCCTAGAAATCATTTAGCGCTCTCATCAATACAGATAACATATGCAGAAAACAGGACCTAAATAAAATTAAATATTTTACACCTGGATATTGGGATTATTACAGCAAACGTGGTGTTAAAATGTGGGTTCCAATGTGTAAGGGGTATCCACATTTTGGGGGCCAGGAAAACTGCCAGCACAGATGGTGAGGTGAGAAATTGAAGCCAGAGTGCATCATAACTCCGCCCTGACATTAATTTTCACTTCATATGAAACTTTAAACCTTAGATTAAGTTTGTTGGATCCAAAACCTGTAGTTTGATATGTTATTGCACTGCTAAGCTTTAACTACACATGTCGACCTGTCATATAAATGCGAGAAGGTACATAAACCAGATTAAATATTAGATCAGATTTTAAAGTTCCTGCATTAGTTAAACATTTTCTGGCTACAAACCAATTTAGACTCTAGAGAGATGCGATCTTTTAAGGTGAACAAACTGGAAATTAAAATGGGAGAAAAAAAAACTTTAAAAACCAATATAAAAACAAGTTTGACATCCCCTGCTCTAGAGTATATCTCTTAGATTTAGGTGCTGAACAAGATCCTGTATTGGAGACTGCCCTGCCAGACTCCTATTTAATGTTTATCTGCTTTCATTTAGCTTCTATCATGAGTCTCGTTCCTCTGAAGCACTTTGAATTGTCTATGTACTGAATAGTACTATATAAATATATTCACCTTGCCTAAAAAGTGAGAAATTGACTAAACTAACTAGGGCTGAAACAATGAATCGATTAATTGTGATTAGTCAATTATAGAAATAATCGTCAAGTAATTTAGTAATCGATTAATTACTAACTGGAGTATAAAGACTCTAAAACAGACAGAGCAACCTATTCATTGCAGTAGTTATACCAAGATTGTAAAATATATATAAAAACATTTTGCATTTAAGATAAACATTTTTTTTTCCATCTATCAATATGCTCTATCCAGAACCTCTCAAGTGGAAAAGTTTGAGTTTCACCTGGTTTCGTTTCGAAAAAAGTCTTCTTTAAGGAACCTCTTGCTATCCGATTATTAATCGATAAATGGAAAAAATAATTGACAGATTAATCGATTTTTAAACTAATCGTTAGTTGCATCCCTAAAAAACGAATCAAAGCTACCTACTTACTAAATAAAAAGTCCAAAGCGGAAGAGATCTTAAAGCACATTCGGCTTTCTCTTGATTAGAAGCAGACACATGCCTCTCTGCAGCCAAGTGTGATTTTTTTTACTGGCAATGGAAAACGGCTCAAAAGAACATGTAAAGGACCTTCATCAACCAGAAGGGAGGTCACACACAGAACAGAAGAAAAAGTTCCTCCCCTGCAAGTGAAATGATAAAATATGGCAACCTTAATCCTCATAGTAAAATAAAAACCCATCCAGCTGCTCATGTGCTAAGCCACTTCAGACCCCAACAGGCTGTTCTCACTGTCGAACTTTCTGACATGCAGGTAAAGAAAAAGAAAAGGATATACCTGTCATCCCTGGGAGTTTCATTTAACATTCTGTTTATATATTTATATATTTATCTATCTATATCTCTATCTCTTTATTTATTATATATATATTGGTCTCCACTCCACTCTCACAGAAGCACACTTGTAAACTTTCTGTTCAGCATACAGCAGTGATGTGGTGACATCAGGATTTAAAAATTCAGCTCTAAGAATAAGAAGATTACTCGCTGAAGCTGGGATTTTGGAGAGTGGTAGCATGAGGGATTCCAGGAAACATTGCCGAAAGTAATCCAGAATTACCGTTTGCAGTTTCATCTCTATTCTGGCTGTACTGCAGCTTCTCTACAGCTGTTGCTTCACATTGAAAAAAAATGCGATCACTGAATATATAATATTTATATATTGATATATGGAGGTAATAAAGCAGGAGTTTCTGACCATTATACATCTTTGCTCTAAGGCCTCACATGTTGTCTAAACAACACTAAAGAACCCGCAATATAGCTGGGCCTTATTAATGTTTTAAAAAAGTGCACAAATTTATATGATACTTTTTTAAACATAAGGGCTTCAATGAATGAAAGGCAGGAGGTTAGCAGTGCTACTAGGTGTGAAAAAAGTGCAGAGCTGTGGAAATCTTGCTTTACATCCAACTAATTTATTTTCAATAATATATATATGTGTCAAACTAAATTGAACAATAAAAAAAAAGTAATTTAACCCAAAATCTCATTGATGCTTAATCCAACCTGAGGTTTTGACAACAGATTTACCATCTCTGTGGTATTATGCCTGAGCTGAAGGTCACAAACTGATTGCTCAACAACCTTCTTTTAGAATTAAGGCCGTCATATTTTACATTCTTTATATATATATATAACCTTTATTCCAGACATAAAATAGTCCATATCATTGGGAAAGAACAATAACAAAAAAAAAAAGAAAAAAGAAATAAAATTAACAAAGAAAACAAGAACAGTAATAAAAAAGCATAAGAGCAGTTATTTGAATGTTTAAGGAAACTTGAGGTATATTTGGTGTCACTATATGTTGGAGTACAAATATAAAGTTTGACACATTTGACATACAAATGGCACATGCATAATTTCAGGTAGTTCTGTGAGAAAGCATAAGAAGTAGATTATATACTTTTTAAAATTCTATCCCTTCTGCACCAAATTAAATGTGTAGCACAAATGGTCACAAAACATATGGTCACAAAATGGAATCTTGCAAGAAAATGCCAACTTGAAACATGAGGATGGCATTGCATTTGTGTTTCTACTTTTTTCATAGCTAAAATTTAATAATGTAGTTACAAAAGTGCAATTATTAAAATGCACCACACCCAAAGAAAACTCCACCTTAATTTATCATGGATTTTATCCTTAATCTCCACTTTATATTCTCAGCAATCCTATTAGAACCCGACAGGGATCTTGTGAAATATCAACTAATTTGAGCCTGATGTTAGAGAAATATTCTAAGATGATGAAGAAAAGTAATTTATCCAAAAACCTTCCCTTATACTTCTTTTTTAGCCCAATGATTTGGACGGATGATAATCCGGATGATAATCCATCCAAAGATAGTGGATGAAAGCAGATTTTGGTGTTTTTAAATCACATTAGATAAATGTGATATAAAAATAAATTTTATATTTCATATTTATCATCTGTGGTTTTCCTGGGTTCAGTTCACAGCCTAGGGTCTTTGTATGGAGTTTGCATGTTCTGTCTAAGCATGCTCTGTTTCTCTCTGGGGACTCCAACCTAATCCCACAGTCTAAGAACATGACTTTTAGGTTAATTGGTGTCTCTAAATTGTCCTGCGATGGAAGGGCAAAATATATTTGCCCATAGACTGCTGGAGATAGCCCCCCCCCTCCCCATGACCCTGGCGGATAAGTGGCAGAAGATGGATAGATGGCTAAAAGAAAAGAGACAGACAGTCCAACTCTGAGGTCACAGCAAACAAAACCTCACAAACAGGTTACATGCTAATTTACAATTAAACAGCTTGCTGCTGGTTTTTTTTATGTAAAATTTCCATTTAAGAACTTAAGTTTCACTCTGTTCAACTATTTAAAGCTTTTGAAAATAATTATTAAATAAACAAGGTAAGATTTATATCCAATTGCACTTATTGTTTTCACTTTTTTACATGGCTACACACCTAAAGTATTGCTTGCTGTATTTTCAAATCTTACTTTTGATGAATGAGAAAGTAAACAAATAATAATCTAAATTTCAAATCAAAGCAGCCTCACATCTTTTTATGGATGTCTAGAACATTTTTTCCTTAAAAAAATAAAGCAAAGTCTGGCAGTTACATCCATATTTAATGATCATTTCATGCATCTTTATCAGAACATGTTTTAATTTTGCAACTCATCAAATATATGAGAATAACGTAGGTGATGTAGTGTGAAACACGACAGAGTTTACATGTAAATTAAGTATGCTGGAGTTGAATGTGTGGAATTAAGATAACTTTTGGTACATATAACATATAAAGGTATTTAATAGTTTTTTGGTTGTGTTTTAAAAAGTTACTGTTTCAAAATTGTCAAAAAAGTGTTAAAATAGAAAATCTGTCATTGCAGTACATTTTGAAACAGAACACCCAAGAAGGAGTTAACCATTTCAGTACACTGATCAAAGCACACTGTCACAATGGAAGTGTTATGCACACTTCACACAGTTTGTGATAGCAGGGAAAGGGCATTTTACATTGTTTGCCTCCCAAACAAGCAGCTGACATAAAGCATCCAATGTTTTACACTAGAGACATGATGCTTCTCTTTGCTGCAGATATGCAGCAGTTGGCAGATCTTTTTTTTTTTCTTAACCTCCTTTTACATTTGTTGGCTGTAAATTTGAGACTGTACCCAGACA